AGCGAGAAGCGGCCACGCGTCACGGGTATCCGGGCAGAAGGAGCTGACACAGGCTGTGCGAGGGAGAAGTGAAACTCCAGAGAAGGGGAATCCCCAGCGCTGGTCTCCCCGCCCCCTGACGCCCCCAATCCGGGCCTGAGAGCCCAGTGGGCGCCCTGGGACTCTGAGAGGGGTCTCCTCCTGCAGGAGCCTTCTTTCTGCACTGTCTCTTTGAGCCCTGGGCCGGGCCTGCTGCAGACAGACGCTTTCTGACTCAGAATTTCTGAGGTCTAGATCTGGGGTGCATTCAAAGAGACCCTATAACATGGACAACTGCCCACGGAGTTTCTTTCCTAGATGTTAACACTTCAAGAAGCCCATCGCCAGTCGATTCTCCCGCCTAGCCACTTGGATTCGCTGACAGGAGTTAATGATTCTTCCACAGGGCGCCTTAGAGGTTCTGTTCACAGTCACACACTGTGAAGGACCCATGGAGAGTTTCCTTCGTGCGTTCTGTCTGCGGAGAGTAAGCCCATGGGAAATGGAAACAGTTAACATTGTAAAACCAGTGTAAAGTACTACTGACAACCCATTAAACGGTAACAGATAATACGTTTTCAGAAAAAAGAAATGTGTTCCAAAATAAAACAATAGAGTGAATCACTTTATAAGTCTCTTTTCCGTGTCAGTAGGAGACTGCTGGATTTTCTTGTCTGCTTCTGCATCCGATCTGTCCTCCTGCGTGTGGTGCATCCAGAGCATCCAGCATCTCACAGATGCAACGTTGGAGAAGGGGGTCTTTCAATAGGATCGCCAAGTAACTGAGAAAGCCCATCCTTCCTAGTGCACTGCTGCTACGGAAGGGGTGGTTTCTTCATGGTGAGTTGCGGTTGGAAAACTCTTGTGGAACTTTTCATGTTCTGTTCATTAAACCCATAGATCCATCTTGCACTGCATGATTCTTGTAGTAATGCACGAGCTTCCCTGAAGTGCTGCATGAGTCTATTGAGACTACAAATCTTGCAGTGTTGACACACACCATTAGGAAAATCACATTAAAAAATTACATTTGTAAAAAAAAAGTTACATTTGTTTGTATTACCACTGATCCAAGCCCCCTCCCCACACCCTATACCCTGGAAGAAGTGTTTCATTTTGAAAAGCTCTCACACTTCTGCTGGATACAAATTTTCCCCTGAGCACACCAGGATGAAACAACACTCCCAGGCCTTGAGCCATCCTCACAATTTGTGGTAGTTACATAATCTCAGGTGAACATGATAAATACAGGGAAGGGGCGGAGTCTGCCTGTCAGTCAGATCACGCCCTGCTGAGCGTGGCCTTCTCATGAGTAGGATCCTGGGAACTTCCTCACTCTCTGTGCTTCACCTTCCTGTTAAGGAGCCGCTTCAAGCCACAGTGATGGCAACCAGAGCCCTGTGATGGCGCCATCACCATTGAATCCACAAGACTTCGCGTCCACGGGCCAGTGATGTCCCTGCAGTCTGCATCATTGGGTTTGGCTGCATGAGTCTGAGTAGGGACTGATGGAAAAGTACCAGACTTAGGGACTAGCATTGGACTTACTGACTCCATTTGGACGGGGCTGGCATGTTTGCTTGATATAGAATGACTTCTTAATGTAAAGCTCTGTCTTACACATATATATGCGTGTTCCTGGATGTTTCTCCAGTCAACCCACCTAACGCACAGTTGTTCCTGTGCACAAGTGGATTGTTGGAGCCACTGTGTCGACCCATTTCGTTGAAGGCCTTCCCCTTATTTGCTGCCCCTCCGTTTTACCAAGCATGATGTCCTTCCCGAGTCTGGTCCCTCCTGACAATATGTCCAAAGTAAGTCAGCAAAGGCTTGCCATCCTTGGCTGGAAGGAGCCCTCTGATTGTACTTTTCCCTAGACAGATGGGCTTGTCCTTTTAGCTGTCCATGGTACTTTCAGTATTTTGCTCCAGCACCACAATTCAAACGCATTTGGTCTTCCTTACTCAATGTTGAACCTACACATCTATATAAGACTATTTACAATAACATGGCTTGGGTCAGACACACTTTAATCCTCAAAGAAACATTTTGGCTTTCCAGTACCCTGAAGAGATCTTGTGCAGAAGAGTCACCCAATGGAAACCATCTTTTGATCTCTTGACTGCTGCTTCCATTAGTATTGGTTGTGGATCCAAGCAAGACAAAATCCTTGACAATGTTGACATTTTCTCTGTGTATCATGATGTTTGCTATCGGTCCCGTTGTTGGCATTTTGATCTTTTTTACACTGAGTTGTAATCTGTACCAAAGACTGCAATCCTTGATCTTCATCAGCAAGTTATTAAAGTCCCCCACACTTTCAGAACAAGGTTATATTAGCGGAAGTCACTTGTTGTTGATAAGCCTTCTTCCAATCCTGATTCTGCATTCTGCTTCAAATAATCCAGCTTCTCTGATTATGTGCTCAGTGTACAGATTGAATAAGTAAGGTGAGATGATGCAGCCCTGACACATACCTTTCTTGATTTTAAACCATGCAGTAGTCTGTTGGTTTGTTGACTTATGTTTTATTGACTATGCAACGGCATTCGACTGTGAGGATCATAAAAACTATGAATAAACTTGAGAAGAATGGGAATTCTAGAACACTTCATTGTGCTCATGAGAAACTTGTGCATGGATCAAGAGGCAGGGTTGTGTATATAATACTACTTGTCTTTGTTGTCTAATGCTTTTGACCTCTGAGCGCCTGCCTTTTCTTTAGTGATATTGTGCTCGTCCCACCCTTATTGCATTTCCCTAGGTCTTCCGATTACCCAGCTAGCAGTTTTCCCTCTCCTGCTGTTCCACTACTGGTAACCACCAAGATTTTTCCCCCCCGGTGTGTAAAACTTTTCAAGCTTCTTTAGAATTGCGAGTTTATATGCTATATGTCCATAGTGACTGATTTACTTTACTCAGTACAATATCCTCCAGGGTCACCCATGTAATGAAATGTTGCATGGATTCTATTTTTATTCTTTAACATTACATACTATTCTATTGTGTATTTGTAGCATAGC